AGAGTGAGGTTGCAGAGGTGGGGATGGGTTGAAGGAATTTAGAAACTGGGCGGGAAGGGGACTATGCAGAGTCAGGAACACTGGTTCAGCATGTTTCACTGGAATTGGTTTGGACAGCTTTCCATGGTTTCAGGTCTGGTTTTTTTTCTGCGCTCCATGCATCCCACCAAGTTTTGGCAGCCACAAAGCTTTGTTCTTTTCCTGTAAGAAAACACAAACATTCCCTCCACCCCAAATTGGGTCTTTTCCACTGTCTAGTGTATGGGTGTTTTTATCTGAACAGAGCAAAAGTCACCCAAGTTCCATCATGCCAGAGTCTGTCTGTAGTAGATTGTTCACTGGCATCCCCATTTTTAAAAAAAATTTAAATGAAGAGTGCATGATTTAATGCATCATGTGGAGACAAAGGTGATTTTATAGCCATTTTTGCAAGCTATAAAAACACATGACTTAGGTTCATTGTGGAGTATGTCTGAATAGTTAGTTACTCCCAGGCCCGTGGAGCCTGTGGCTAAGGCCTCAGATACTCCAAGTCCCACTATCAGGAGGATGAATTAGATAGCTCTCTTATGTCTAGGAATAAGATAATCTATGGGCTCACTTCACCATGGAAACTGAAAATTGTGGCCCTTTTTTAAAGGCCCCCCTCCCTTGTTTTGATGGTGGGCATCTCATGTCCTCCATCATGGAAAGAAATCCAATCTGGCCAGCCTGAACAGAACATTCAATGTGGGCACTGGGAACACCTAGGAGAAAGATGGAGAACAGGAGATACAAAGAAGAATGACAAAACAGGGTTCTGATCAAAGTGACAACTTTATTTCATCCCAAAGGGATTAGTATAGGGGGAGGGAGGAGGGAAAGGAATAGGGTGTGTAGTGCAGCTGCAATGATCCTGGCGGAGAGAAGTTCAGTGGGATGGGTAGGTCATCTTGTGTCCTCTGGTAACCTAACTGCAGATTCTAACTTCATCTTTCACATTCTACCCTCTATCGTACAAGCCTACATCCTAGTGACTAGGCAGATAAGCCACAAGTCTGTTTTCTCGGAACTTGCTTCCTATCTTTAAGATGTAGTATTTCAGCAATGTGACCTAAAATCATCCCTTCTCTATAAGGAGGGCATGATAATGCCATGGCTGAATTGTGGCAGAGGCCCCTGACACACCAGTAACCGAGGAAATGTGCTTGATACATTTCCATAGCTTGTCTTCCAAGGGCACATTATTGCCTTCCTCAAACAAATGGGGAAACCAAAGGTGCTCCTTGAGTTCATTCACAGATATGATAAGATCTTGAGCAATGTTGTCCAATGAGGCATCATCCAGTCCAAAGTAAGACTTATAGAGATTGAATGTTTAATTCAGATCCTCTAACTCATCCCTGATCATGCCAACCAATGGAATGGCGGCCAATGCTCCAGACTTCAGGGCCTCTAGGAAGACTTTCTGCTTCAGGGAATCTCTCTTGAGGTTAATGGTGGTCTCAGTAACACTGTTTAAGGACAGTGTGAAGACTTGTTACTTGTGGGCTGGCAGATCCCTTAGGAGTTTTGTTTGCAGGTTTGGGAAGTCATAGTCAGACATATCAAGGTTGGAGACCAAGAAGACTGGAGGCTCACTGGAGAGGGCTTCCTTGAGTTGCCTTGAGCTAATGCTTGTCCTGTTTTATAGCTAATGCTTGTCCTGTTCCCTTCAGCCAGTGTTCTATGAGTTGATCAGGTATGGATCTGTCTTGCACACAGTTGAGGTCTGGCTTGTCATTCTCCTTTCTGTGCTACTGTTCCGGGTACTTAGAGTCTCTGAAACTTCTCAGGGTTGTTAGGACATGAAGAGAATGCCCTGGCATGCCAAAAGTAATTCTTTGGGAAAGGCAAAAGCCTAGGAGGGATATATTAGGCTCTTTTCAGGAGACCAAAGATAAGACATACCACCAGGTGTATTCCCTGAATGCCCTTGCATTTGCTCAAACCAACTGTAAATTTTTGCTTTAATAATAATAATGAAAAGTGATTTGTTTCTGCCAGAGTCGCTGGTACCTCACTGTCTTTAGACTATCTTTCAATCCAGAGACTTAGACTCACTGGTCACATGGAGAGTTGACAATGTTCCCTAGGGGCTTGGTAGTAGAGATGGAGATTAGATGGTTGGTGCTGGGTGGCCAGGGAGTGGTTTGCTTAGTTCTCTATCCTGCAATATTTGTCACTCTTCTCTAACCACAGTTGGTGTTGGTGAGTTCTCTGGCTTATTATTGTCAGCTGTGGTTGGCAGCAGTGACTGGCAGCAGGTGGCATGCTATTTAGATTTGACCATTCAGCTGGATTAGTTTCTGCCATGGCACTTGTTCCTGCCACGCAGAACTGGCCTGGGAAGGCAGGGTCAGACACACTAATGAACTATGAGGAGCCTGGGGTCTGTGCCTGGTTGCCCAGTTTGGGGAAAGTGATGGCCTGTGCTCAGTGGCGCAGGTAACCCCAGCAGTGTTTTAGGGCCAGGGGTAGGCAGCGGCTGAAGGCAGCTGTGGAAATGCTACAAAACAGTGCGGAACACAGGAAAGCAGGCTGGGTGGGGCAGCAGGAAGGCAGACAGAGGTCTCCACTGGTTGATAATGCCCTGTGTGGACTCCAGATATTTCCGTTTCCCTTAATGTATATTAAAAATATTTCAAGGACAAATATTAAGAAGGACCACAAGCATCTGTGACACAGCACCATTGTCTACGTCCTGGATCAAAAGGACCTCACATCCTCTCCTTCCTGCCTCTTCCTCTCTTTCCCTCCTCTGAAGTCCACCAGGGAACTGTGTGAGCCATTCTGTGCAGCTGAATGTGAACCCCGCCTCTTCACCTAAAGCCCAACTCCACTGAAAATCAGATCACAACACAGGAAAAAAAAATCCAGTAAAACTCTTGGATTGCTTGCCTGCCTTTTCTCTCCTTATACCACATATTCTTTTATATATTTTTTTATTTAATTTAGAATCGATCTTATTTTACATATCAATCCCAGGTCTCTCTCCCGTCCATTCTTTCATGCATCCCACTGACCAATCCATCCCACCCCACATCCACTTCCCAGGGAGGATGAGGCCTTCAATGAGGGATTATAAAAGTCTGTGACAGCATTTGGGCAGGGCCTTGGCCCTCCCCTGTGGATCTAGGCTGAGAGAGTATCCCTCCTTGGGAATGGGCTCTCAAAATCCATTTGTGCAGTAGGAATAATACTGATCCACTACAAGAGCCCCCAGACTGCCCAGGCCTCCTAACTGCCACCCATGTTCAGGGGCTTGTTTAGTCGTGTGCTGGAGCCCAGTTGTCACACTGTTGTCTGTGAGCTCCCACTCACTCAGGTCAGCTGTTTCTGTGGGTTTCTCCAGAATTGTCTTGACCCTTTTGCTCATCTCTCTACCTTCTCTACAAGTGGATTCCAGGCTTTACCTGTGAGTGTCTGCTTGTGCTTCCATCAACTATTGGATGAAGGCTCTAGGATGCCCTTTAAGGTAGTCATCCATCTCATTAGAGCAGAAATGCATTTATGGTAGCTTCTCCACTATTGCTGAGATTCTTGGTTGGCTTCATCATTGTGCATCTCTGGACATTTCACTAGTGTCAGATTTCTCTTTAAATGTATACCTGTATTAAGGTATCTCTTTTCTTGCTCTCCTCTATTCTTCCCCTGACTCAATCTTCCTGATCCCTCATGTTCTCCTCCCCACTTCTCTTTCCCTTTCTCCTACCTCCTTTTATGTCCCTCCATGCTCCCAATTTGCTCACAAGATCTTGTTCCTTTCCCCTTCTCCAGGGAACCATGTATGTGTCACTTAGGGTCCTCCTGGTTTCCTAGCTTCTCAGGTGGTATGGATTGTAGGCTGGTAGCCTCACACACACACACATTAAATGCAGAGTTCTATGAAATGGTATGTGTACTGTGCCATCTGTTCCATGGGAACACATACCTACACGCAGGCAGACACATATACCAGCTCATAGACATACATACACATACACGGGCAGAGAATGTGCACACAAGTTTAAGGTCACAGCTTTACTTAGTATCCAAGCTGAAAAGGTCACCTGTCGCTTGCTTTGTAACTAAAAAGAGAGTCATAGTGTCCCTATTAGACACTTGAAAGTGTCTTAGGTTTGAATTAAGGAGATGTGGCCTCTCTGAAACATTGACACGTACAGTTCACTCACACTTCACTTCTCCTACTCTTCCATTGCCCTCCAATGAGGTGCTCTGAGAAATATTGGTCACTGGTCTCCTGGTAGTAAAATAAAATAGATGTTGTTCTTTCTCCAGTTTCACACCACATAGTATCTTCATGGTGAATTTGTGATATGGTGCATTATCATTGTATCATGGCTTCAGTTATCTGGAAGCAAGGCTCTGTACACATTTTTCAAATCTGAGAACTATATTTTGACTTCCACAAAGAAACCAAGGAAGAGCTGTGGTTAGTTCTCAGACAGGAATATATCAATTACATTACAGTCTGTGTATAGGAGGAGACAGGATCACTGTGAGCCTTCAGATAATCAGAAATAGAACGCACAGACCATAGTACCAACCTCCCACAATGTGCACTCACACAGCCAGTCAAATCTAGAATAAACTTTAACCACAGGGAGTTGAAAAAGTCACAGCTTGAATTAGTGATCTGTTCTTCATATCTGGTAACATGTGCTTGAGCTATGCAGGAACACTTAATGTAAACAGATCCCAAACCATTTCATGTGGAGAGACAGACTTCACCAGGAGCAGAGCATGTCAGCTGCTCACAGCTTGCTCTCCCAACATGGCAGCAAATGTCTTCCCTCAATGATGATAAATGTTGTAAATGCAGAAATAGATTATATATTGAACTAAGGCCAGGCACTGGGGTGTTTTACACACCAAGTCAGGAGTACACATAACTGGGAGTTCGATCGGGGGCAGCTGTCTACATGTCAACTTTCATACTGAGGCCACATTTGAACACAAAATCACAAATCAAATCCATATTTATCATGGATATTATACATATGATTTTAATGGAACTAAGTTTTCCTCACACATTTGCACATTGTTGAAGCTTCTCCTACTACTACAGCACACTTGAGCCCTTGCTATAATGATCTTCAGGCTCAGGATGAGGCAAAGGACAAACTCTAGCGCTCCACAAACAAGGTGTGTTACTCGGGAATAGGTTATGATTCAGTGTCCAAAACAAGGCCAGACCCAAACATTGATTGGAGCTTGTGCAATGTTTCCCATCATTCCCAGTAATCAGGAGCCTTAGATATATATGGTCCCACCTTCTTTTCAAAAATATCTTCCCTATTAAGAAGAGCTATGGCATCATTTGCTGCAGTTTCAAGAAAGAGATTCTGCAGATAGTAAGTTTTGCTGTAGTAAAACCTAGCAGCAAATGGTCCACCAGTAACTGAGGAAATGAGTTCAATATAATTCAGTAGTTTTTTCCCTAAGGATACATCGTTGCCTTCTGCAAACAAATTTGGAAAGCGAAGGCGTACCTTGAGTTCGTCCGTGGACATACCAAAATCTTGAGCAATCTTTTCCAATGAGGCATCATCAAGCCCAAAGTAAGACCTGTAGAGATTGAATGTTTCATTCAGATCCTCTAAGTCATCCCTAATCTTACCAACCAGTGGAATGGTGGCCAATGCTCCAGCCTTCAGAGCCTCTAGGAAGACTTTCTGTTTCAGGGAATCTCTCTTGAGGTTAATGGTGTCCTCAGTAACACTGTTTAAGGACAGCATGAAGACGTGGCGCTTGTGGGCTGGGAGCTCACCCAATAGGGTGGTCTGCAGCTTTGGGAAGTCATAGTCAGACACGTCAAAGTTGGAGACCAAGAAGACTGGAGGCTCACTGGAGAGGGCTTCCTTGAGTTGCTTTGAACAGTCACCTCGGATTTTCATCAGGACATCCTCCTTATTGAAGGCCTTAGGTTTACTTTTCTTTTCATTATATATGTCATTATCTATCTTGGTTCGAACAAAGTAGAAATTCATCTTCATCTTTTCAATGGCTTTTGCTAGTTGTGCATCATTTTCTTTGAAGCGAGTAGCTGAGGTGATAACGAAGAAGTCATACTCAGCAAACTTCATTGCCTCTAGGTAGTGTTCTGGTGGGAAGGAAGTGGGCCAAATGCCAGGTAGGTCCCATACTGTCACCTGAGGAAGCTTTCGGTTTGGGTATGGCACTCTCTCCATTGTTATCTCTGTCACCCCAGTAGGGGCTGCACCATCTTCTTCATGCCCCATCCCCATCAGGGCATTGATGAAGGTGGACTTCCCTGTCCATGACTCCCCTGTCACAGCAATGTTCAGGGGAGCATTCTCGATGTCTCTCAGTGCATTGTGGATTACAGAAAATGCATCCTGGAGGTTATTTTCCTGAATGTGGGTTTTAATCAAGATGATAGTTTCCTCAGAGTGGATTTGGCTTTCCCTCTTAAAATTCTTAAAGAATGCATCAATGCTGGAGGCCCAAGCCATGTCTCTGTATGATGGAAGCTGAAGGAATATAGAGGAGAGAAATTGTAATCATTAATTAAAGCAGGGAATAGCTTTGGAATTTGTTGTTGCAGTAAAGCAGGCCCCCAACCCTGTCCCACATCAGATCTAGCATTGCCTTTCTTGGCTTCTCTTGGTTGCTGCTTCCACTGCTGGCCTGGTTATGAAGAGGCCTCTTGTTCACACTTCACTTCCTGCTAGGAATTTCCTTGTATCTCTTGGTCTATCAGACTCCACTTATCCTGTGAAGTTACCCATTGAAGCCTTTATTATCCCTCTGAAGTTACCTTTAAATTCCTTTAAATTAATTTTCATTAAAATGACATCTATACATGTTGTCAACCCCCAAAATGCATAAAAAAACAGCAAGACTTTTCCTGCTAGGGTCCTCAACCTTATGTGAACCCATTACTGAATTGCCTGTAGGTCCCCAAGGCCTCTGGTCTCTTTGCTGTTGAGGGAATCCCAAAATACTATCAAAACAGCACAGGCTACTGCTGTTTCCCTTGCTTGACCCCCAGAAGTTGAAGGTCCCTTTTCTGAAGACAGCACACACTTCAGGTACAGGACTCAGAGAAATCCAGCTGCACGAATGCCAATGTCTCCTCCCCGAGGGCTAGTCTAGCTTTCATAACACCAGAAGGTGCTGTGCAGGTTGCCAAGGGAGGAAAGCATTCAATGATCCTACCCAGCTGTGGCACCTGTGAGCCACAATGATGATCCCCATGCTGAGATAACTAGAGGTGCAATGGCGGCATTTATGTTTTGGTGGGAACACACAGCCGTCTAATCAGACTTCAGGCTGGCTGAACAAGAAGAAAATCATACCTGGTTAATGAAAACCTAGCCAACAACCTGGCACCAGTGAGGTCATAGATCTCAGAGGAGAATCCACTGTGGCCACTTTCCTATCCTAAATACTCATCTTTATACCCACAGACAGGTTGAGCTGTCACTCACCAACAAAGATGCTGCTTTTCAAAGCAGAGATCACTTTAGAAAGACACAACTAGTCAAGAGCAGAGAACAACTGACCTGTGGTGCATAGATGATACACTGTAACTCAAGATTTACACCGAAGACCCAGGAAAAATGCAAAGGAGTGTGCAGAAAGGCTACAAGAGTGAAAAGACCGCAAACTCTGCAATATCGGGTCTTCTGCATGTGACCTGATGATAAATCCATGAAACTTCAACATTGTAGCCATTTAAACAGGATCTGAGCAAGGCTACCACCAGTTGACATGCCAAAGTGGATGTGGGAAATTGCATGTGTTGTCACACTTAGATGAAGTGTCACAAGTGATCAAAAGCTGCAGATAGAGAGAAGTAGCCTTATGCAGAGATGAGTCTGTCTGTATATCCATAGATACATGCATCCATCCATCCATCCATCACCTATCATCCATCTGTATACATACATATGTATATATATATGCTATACAAAATTCAGCAGGTTGCTTTGATATATTTATTTGTTTGAAGGTATGTCACAGTAATAAATTATTAGAGGCCATACATTTAAAGGGAATAGGAGGTATGGAAGGGACTGTAGGGAGGAGAAGGGGGTAATGATGCAGTTATACTTTAATAAAAGAAAGGACCTTTGGTTCATGACAAGCATTTATATTAAACAAAATTCAAAATCAGAAAAAGAAAGAGGGAGGAGAGAGAGAGAGAGAGAGAGAGAGAGAGAGAGAAGAAGGAAGAGAGGAAGGAAGGCAGTCTACTTTTAGATGCAAGGGCAATCATGGCAACACTGTACTGCACAGAATGTAATTCCCAGTGTCTGCCTAAGAACATTCCACTGATGTACCTAAGCTAGCCAGTGGCACATTGTAGGATATTTTCTCCAAAACACTAAATAGAGCCTTTACAACTACCTGCCTACTTCATGAGGTGCTGGTAGCCTTTCAAACTTCCTGTCCACCCACTATCCACTCCATGATGTGAATCCCTGTTCCTCAGAGACTTCAGACCCCCAACCTGCAGTGACTGCTATGCATCTTGCCCACCCAGTGTCTGGCCTGTCAGAGTTGCCAGCTGTCAACCCTCCTAGTCACCCAGGGAGGACAGCATTCACACTTTTGAGTCTTAGACATCCACATTCACCTGACACCTGCTGACCACCCCATGTATCAGAGCCTTTGAGACCACCCAACTGCTTCCTATTATAAAATAAGTAAGGCCGTAAATATGTACAAAAGGAAATCAGTCAGTGTTCTAAGCAAATTCGAACATAAAATCTTGGTTATGTAAAAAACAACACAGTGAGTTTCTTCTAAACAATATAAATCCCTGAGTAATGGTCTTCATGGGAATGACTTAGATAGAGTTCCAGAGAAAGTATTTAAGTGGTTGTTGTAAATGTGTTTAAAAACCGTGGGCTTACCATTCCAAATAGAGGGATGCTCTTTCAGCCTGGACACATGGGGAAGTGCCTAGGTCCTTCCCTGGATGAACTGACAGACTTTGGAGATTCCGCAAGGAGGGCCTCACTGTCTCTTGGGAATGATGTAGGGATTGGATGGGGGGCTGGGAGGGCTGGTGGAGGGACAAGGGAAGAGGGGTGGGAGAGAGCTGGGATTAACATGCGAAGCATTCATGTTTCTAATTTAAATAGAAACATATATTGAGGAAAAATGTTGGCTCAAACACCAGCTAGGTGAAAGATAGGAGTCAGCACAGGGTATGAAAATAGAATGCAATAAAGAGAAATACTGAGGAAAGTCTTGACTTAAATGAGGTTAGAGACTAAAAATTCTTAGTGGAAAGATACCAACAGAGAGGATCATATGGAGGAGAGAATATCAGGGTTGAAAACATTGTAGGGGACTTGGATGACTTTTCAAGGAAAAACATAAAAATTGAAAACCTATGAACATTGCTCATGTGACCTGTGGAACACTATGAAAATATGGCCTTAGAAGGAGAAGAACTCCATGCCAACAGCATAGAAAAGGTTCTCAACTAATCGTAGCATTAATTTCCACAAATTTAGAGACAGAAAAGCACATCCACGTAGATACAGAGGCTTGGAGGACACCAGATACACAGGGCTGAAAAAGGAACAGCTGGAGTCATATTATAGCTAAAACCCTGCATATATACAGAGCCAAGTGTTCTGCAAACACAAGAAAAAGCATCAAGAACTATAAATATGGCCATCAGAGTAACAACTGAGAGCAGCAGAATCTTTGAAAGCACCATACTCAGCCTGATCTGCCAGAGTTTGTGGTTGTTTCTGATCTGGGCTTTTATCTCCATGGGCAAATGAGGAGCCTACAGCATAGATTCCAAGAGCATCTGGGTAAACAGCCTGCTGTCCATCTCCAAGCTTGACTGCTTCAGAAGACTGGCACAGCCCACAACACTCAATTGGAAGGAAGGGCTGTTGCTTGTCTGCTTTGGGATGCTCTGTGTCACAGAAGATGGCCACAGAAGGATGCTACTGTGAAGGCTCCCTGATTAAGTCTCCCCAGTTTCTCCTGCTCCAGTGTCAGCAGCCCACTCTCAGTGTTATCACCCGTGTAGGGTTATTGGCCAAGCTGAACTTAGAAACTGTTCACTTACCTGAGCAGTGGCGAGCTTGATCTGTTGCCAATGCCACCTTTGGGATACCTCTCTTCTTAAGAAAGCTCTTTACAAACCAGCGAGGGCAGTGATCATGGAATGATCTAAGTCTGGAGCTCACACTCAGGATGTTCAGGAAGAAAGCAGGTGAGGTGTGGAGTTCTGATGTCCTCAGAAGAAATGCATAAAGAAAGGAGGAGCACTCGGGATGGACAGCCTGATCTTCTCCAAGTTACTTTATCATCCCTGGCCACACAGAGCCCTTGCTGTCTACACTTTTCTGGATGGATATGAGCTCATTTTATGCAAACCACCTTATGGTCAGAGTTGGTTTCAGTTTCCATTCCTAGAAATGAAACAATGAAACAATGGGGAGGTTCTTCAGAGAATTTTCAGATGGGTCAAGCTGTTTGAGGTTGGTCTTATTAATTCTGTGGTGTGACCACTGAAGTACCAAAAATTGAAATTAATAAAAGTTCCTGAAAAGGGAACTTCTAATGACTGGGAATGCTGTGCCTGGCACCTGAGACCCTCTCTCAGAGAAGGGGAGGTCACCCTCTGCCACTTGGGTCAAAATTCCTATGCCTGATAATTGCTGGACCTAAGGTTGTAAAGATCCCATGGTCCAGGGTATAACTGACAGACCCTGTGACCTTGTAACCTTCCAATTCCCTTCCACTGTCCTATCTTATTCAAATGTATCTTGCTTAAAATATGTAGTTAATGCTTTACTCTGTACTTTATATGACCTTAAGTAACCATGGAAACTGAAATTTGTGACCTTCAACCTTATGGTATACCCCTTTAAAAGCTTCTCTTTTTGGCTGGTTGGAATCTCATTTTCCCACCATGGAGTGAGATTCAAGTTGGCCAACTTGAACAACAAAAATAAATCTTTGCTTTTGCATTGGAGGTGTCTGCTCCTCGGGTTGGTATCTGGGCTTCCATGAACCTGGCACAACACCATGAGAGTACAGTTCATGGTAGACCCTGGGTTTGACCCTATGGCTTCCCCACTGGGGACTGCTAACTCAGGTGATGGCAAGTAGCCCTGGGCATGCTATCCTTCTGTTGTGTGTCTTGACTTGTTTATAGATTTATCAATCTGACATAAGTTTTGATTTTAATAAATTTGAGGCTTTGAATTAAAAGACTCAGGCCAGGAACAAACAAAATAAATTTCTGTAGGGAAAAGAGACCAGTCAAAGAAACACATCCTGAGCAGATCCAAAGAAACACACTTTGGCCCTGCAACCAAAACCAAAGAAATGTACCCTGCCCCTAAAACCAGTGCCAAAGGAACACACTTTGTCCCTGGAATCAGAGCCAGTGAAAGAAATGCACCCTGGCCCTACAATTGGAGCCAAAAGGCTAAAAAGGACCAGAGAAAGAAACACACTTTGGCCCTGAAACCAGAGCCAAATTTGA